GAATTAGAAAAACATGCATGAAAAGTCAGAATAACTTGTGATACTCTTATATCAACATAATCAGCATATATGCAAGTTAATGCAGGAGTATAAAAAAGAAAAAGGGATGTTAGTTCCCACCATTTCAGTTCTTTTGCTTAATACTTCAATACATATCTTAAACACTAAACTCACCGAATACAAGTAATCAACAGCTCTCTCGGGATTGTTATATGCAGCACGCAAAGCAAGGATGACTGTCTCCCTGTCCCAACTTCCCCCACCCATATCAAGAATTTGTTGAATTGTGGTCTCAAAGTTGCTTTCGGCCACAATGTTTGATGCTGCTTGATCATAGACACCTGACACAGAACTGACAAAAAAACCAATAAAAAACAATTTTCATAGGAAGCCAAGAAAGTTACAGATTTATTTCTGCAAACACATTTATCAAAACAGATGTGGGATAATTTCTCACACAGCAGAAGCTGGGGCGGGAGGATGAGAAGGGGCAGATCCAGATGCAGGGTGTGGACTGCACATCACAGTGGCAAAAAATCATATCAGAAGAATTACAAACTAATCATGACATAGTATGTGATGATTGAGATCTCACGTCACGACAATAGAGGCAGTAGATGGTTGTGCTGTTACTGTCTGTGTTGATTGTCCTGTGGAAGTTGCTATAGGTTCGGCCTAGACAGAAAACAATCCCAGTCAGCTAAACTATTTGAGCAAGTAATGCAACATTTTAATTAATACAACCAGATCGTACACACACACACACATCCTAGATCATTTCAGTCATGTAAAAGGTAATGACAGGAAGTAAATGAAATATAAAAGAGTAGCTACATTCTCACCGTAATTAAAGGTGCTGATTGTGTTGATGAAGCCTCACCTGCTGGGGTCTTATTCTACAATAAACGATGAAGCAAAATTATTTTTATTAACTATGACTACTCAAATATAAATATTTAATGTTAAGGAATAAGAATGAATCTAGTTCCAGAAGAGAAGTGTGCATGTAGAAAAAGTGATCTAATTTTAATAGGTCTCTATCAAACAAATACATGCAATTCACTGCCAACACATCAGTTCAAAATTATAAATGCATTTATTCAAATTCTTAGAAATGGTACCTTGGTAAGCATAATTACAACAAAACTATTTTCAGCAACTTTATTTTCTTCTACTGTTGTTGTGTCCTTCAGAACTTTTCCCTGATGGATAAGCATCTGCTGTGCAGCAGGGTAAACGTCTGAACCCTTAACAGTTTCGATGTTTTTCTTCACATTAGAAACCTGAATTGTTCATAACTATATCAGCGACAACATCAAAATAGGATTTCTTAATAGATGCTTGTGTTGTATTGCTGTTAAAGAAGTTTGGAAACTGCAAAGTGACGCTCTTCTTTCAGTAGCTTAGAAACATGCCAAATACACCAAGCGCAAAATCAGTATTTAATATCCTATGTAGGAAAACAAATCTGGAACCACACATGCAAAGTGAAACAGCAATTCTACAAAAATGGTTTAAACGTCCCCAAATTTCAGCACCAGATGATCGCATCATTCCACTATTGCACACTTGCTGCTACTAATTTCCAGCAGTGGATCCATGAAGTTTCAAAAGACAATATAAGAAATTCAGCTCCCTGCCAAGGTCACATTGGCAGTAGTGTGATACAGCAGGCGAAGAGTATCACACATGTCACATACTCACTAACTCACATCTCTCCATGTAGCTGAGGGCGATACATGCAATTCATTTGGCGTCAACAGCCTGATGACTTGAAAGGTTTGCGACATATCTTCACTTAAACTAAATGCATGATCATAAGATACATACTCCCCATTTGAATAATGTAGATCAATGGATGAGTTTCCGCATGCGCATTATTACGATTATACTCAATGATTAAATAATCGGTCATATCGAAACACTTCATTTAAACCTAGAGCGATCATCACGGCTACGGCTCAGAACCCTAACTTAAGTCTGTCAACGAGAAAGACTATACAAACCGATAAGTTTATAGACCAATGAAAGCTAAGATGCAAAAAATCACCGATATATATACCCATGAGATTATATAGAGCGACCGAGAGGATGAGTTCTTACGGTGTCGTCAGGTTTAACATCGATCGTGAATTGAGCCCCTTTCAACGTCTTCACACAAATCTTCATAGTTCAGCAGCTCGCTTTGGCGCCGGCGATTCCGAATCTCTTGGGAAGCAGATTTTTGAAGCGTAGAAATCGATAGAACTGGTAAAAAGTACTCCCTTCGTCCGGACGTAATTATGATCCAAGGACAGCCTTACTCAGAGATGCATAAGAAATGCTCCCTTTGTGCTTAAAGCGGTTGCCCAAAGTGGGAGAAAGCACAATTTCTTCAACACTGTCTCACCGAGATAACTTCGGTCTTTACTAGACCCTCCCATCTGATATTTTAGGAGATTTATCACCAACTTTTTTTCATAAAATGTGTAAAATGTATAATAATAAAAAAGTAAAGTTGAAATTAATTTTTTCGCTGTATAATTTTTTACATATAATTTTTACAATAAAAAAGTAGAGAATCATTTTAGCTATTTTTACATATAATTTTATCTTTATTTTATTAATAAAATATATTTTAAATTTCCTTTTTTATAGATTATCAGAATCAGCCAATACAGTCATTTAAGTTAGAAATTCATAAATTTCAGCAGAATCGGCCAATTCAACTGATTTCAGTGTTACCAAACAGGCTGTCAAGAATCAAATTGGGAGTGCAGTGTATGAACGGATGTTGGGCTAACTGTTGAGTTGTATTCAGTAACAATTTAGCTAAAGTAAATCTATTGGTGCACCTTGCAAACAACAATTATTTAATGTGTATGTTACCAAATAGGATCGTCGCCACTCTTACTTTTTTGGTTGGACAAAATTGTTTTTGCAGGTTGTTTCAGACACCAAAATTGATGGGAAAGAAACTCCAAAATCAACTGGAATCTATCAAGAATTAGAAGAAGCATTCATTGGTGATGCCAACGGCTCAACACAGGGCTCAAACGACAAGAAACTTAAGTCCGTGAAGATAAAAATAAGTCATAATATTGAATTACTATATGCTTTTTAAATTCAGGATTGCCTTTTAGACTTTCATTCACGTATTGTTTCAAACAATTTTGATGTTAGACTTCTCAATACCATTCAATTTCATTTGACATTTTATGAGCGTCAATTATTACACTTCGATTTTTAGTACGTACTAATAGATGGGTTATTATATTTTTTTTTGTCATGATCACCATCACCATGTAATGTGAGTGAGAATATAAAAGAGGTATATTAACATAGTGATGGCGATCATACAATTAGTTAGGACATATTATTATTCATGTGCCGTATTTAGTGGCTGTTATTTTGAGTGTTTAAGAGTATTAACATTAACACCATTGAATCAAAAATTGATATAACAGAAGATTTTCATGTTCCAGTAATGTCTGACCCCATTGAATCCACTGTCAACACTATTTATACTATTTTTGAAGAACATAAGCATGATCTCATATCTTGAAGGGAGAGTGATTCTTGCATCGACAATTGATGAGGTAGACAAGGTCGATGATTTCATGTTGTTGCATAATAGATAAGAGAAAAAGACATATTTCGGTTCAGATTTAATGTGTTCCTCAATCTCAGACAACGAGCTCCTTCAGGAAATTCATCCCCTCGAGTTCCTTAACAACATAAAATGTTCTGGTGTTCCAAGGCTCTGTTTGCAACTCCTTAATTTAAGTGATTGTAGCTTTTTTCTAAGAAAAAAGCACTTGTTTTACCAAACACTACCAACTTTTGCTTTTTCAGTTTTCGTGTAGAATCTACTTTTTACTTTTTCTATTACACAAAAAGCACTTATTTTACCAAACACTACCAACTTTTATTACTAATCACTTTTTCCCAAAAAGTGCTTTTATTTAAGCACAAGCACTTGCAAACAAAGCCCAAGTCACGAGTTGAAGCTAAAAGTTGGCGTACTGGTGATGCTCATGAGAAATATAGATCATTCAGCTAGCTTATGCAATGGTACCCAACTTTTAGTGACGAAACTTGGTGAATATATTATTGAGGCACATATGATGTCTGGAAATAACGCAGGTGAGAAATTGCTTATCCCCATGATTAGTCTAACCCCGACAGATGTGAGGTTACCTTTCACATTTATGCATAGGCAATTCCCTCTACAATGACGATGAACAAGAGCCAAGGACAATCGTTAGAAAATGTGGGTGTTTTTCTACGACGTTCATTTTTTGCACATGGACAGTTATATGTAGCAGTTTCGAGGGCGACGAGTCTGTATGGATTGACGTTCGTGATATGCAACGACGAGGGAAATCAGAAAAAACCGCAAAAAATGTAGTCTACAGACAAGTCTTCAATAATTTGTAAATTTGTGTGCTTATTAAACTTCAAAAATTTTATATAATATATTTACTAATGGTTACTCTCATTCTATGTTAAATTATAATACAATCTTTAATTAGATTTAGATGTTGAGATTTATAATATTATTATTTTATGCAAATACTAGTAATCTATGATTAAAACTTTGTCCGGCCGATTATGGCGGTCTTTAGGGATATCATGCTTTTATCGTTTGGTTTGAGAGTAAAACTATAAATGCAGAATTGACTATAGTATACACTCCGTAATATAGATGTTTGTTTGATACGTTTACTTGACAGTTTTATCCAATATAAACGTATTAAGTAAAGTTCATTTAAGGGTAAATCTGGAACTGGAAGAAATAATAAAATGCTTACCAATAAAAGAAAACCACAAATTGAAACAAATAAAAATATGTATTGTAAAAAATATGCATATAAGGGTGTTTGAGTGAAAATGCAGAATTGATTCTAGTGCTATAATTTACTTCAAGAATCAGATTTTTTAGAAGTTTAAAGATTGTGATACTATGTTGGGAAGCAGTTCCAAACACTCCATATCGACATATCGACATGCTTCTATCACAATTCACGGGTTAACACTTAACACCGCAGCATAAAGAATGTATTTCCTGGAAGTATTGGCTTGCGGTGGTTGGGCACAGAAAACCCGAGGGAGAGGAAGAACGTCAATGAAAGTCCCCAAGGCGACGGTTGCCTGAAAAAGAATTACAGCCTCATGGAACCTAAATCCACAGCACTTGCAGCTCCCCTGAACCCGGCGACTCCTAATTGCGCCGCGAAGAAGAACCGCGACTTCCTCATCCACCTCGAGGCCTACCTATCGAAGCGAGACGGCGTCGACAAGCTGCTGAAAATCTCTCGCTACGCCACCAAGATCATCCTCGCCTCCTCCCTCCTCCCTCCCGGTGCTCCCCTCACCCACCGTCTCAAGTCCTTCGAATCCAGCGTTGGCATCAGCCGGAAAGCTTTCCGCCTCGGGAAATTCGTGCAAGACGTCAACTCCCTCCGTGCCTCCCCCGATCATATCCTCCTCTCCATTATCGCCTATGGGGGAGAGGGGTTATACTACTTCGTCGAACAGTTTGTTTGGCTGGGAAAATCTGGGCTGATCGACAAGAAACATCTGAATCGGTTGCAGAAAATTAGCGCCTGGTGTGAGCTTGTAGGCTACGTTGGCAGTGTGAGCTTGAAGGTGAGGGAGCTACAGAGGATTGCTGAGGACGAGGCTTGTTTGGTTTCGAGTATTGAGATTGCGGTGGTTAGGGGTATTGCGTGTGTAGAGGAGGGGGAGAGGCTAAGGAAGTTGAGAGAGAAGAAGATGATGAAGAGGCTGTCCATTTTGCAAGATTTTGCTGATGCTTTAATGGCTTTAGCTGATATTAGAGATGGCAGTGGATTGTTTTCTGGGCAGCTGATACTCTCATCAGCTGGGCTTCTTTCAGCTCTCATCAGCACTCACAAGAATTGGGTTTCCTGCTGATTGTACTATTCAATTCTCAGGCATGGGGTTTGTAATCTTCCTGAATCATCCTTTAGAGATTTAGGAAGAATTGTAGAATTTATATGTTAGCAAGTTTGAGAGTTTTGTGCGGACTAGCACATTGTAACTTGCAATACTTAATGGTACTGATTTTGGATGATCAATAATATTCTATTTGCCTATGCATTGAATTAGGCAAGCTTATGTGTTCTTGTAGTTTGTTTCCTGAAATTGCTTTTATATATGACTATATTGTGCATGTTATAGTAACTCTACATGCAAATCAAGCAACTTGGACTGATCATGCAGGTTGAAAAGGTGAGAAATCACTGAAATCCTGATTTGCATAGAAAGTTTTTTTTCCATTTCTTGGAGTATGACTTAACGTTGTGGCCCAATACTTCAGCAGGGTGCGGAGTAAAGATGTAATTTATTGGTTCATAGGCCAGTACTGATGTGTGAGGTATGCTCCAAGAACAAACACTTGCATAAAGTGTTACAAAAGAGACATGTCGTATTGTCATCACAACATCCTAGTTTTCACACTTACATCAATGATGATAATATGAGCCACATCATTTGTTTGTATTATAGGCGCAAAAGATTGAAGCAGTAAACAAGTAGCTCACAAGCTAGTTGGTCAATGATTCAATAAGTACTTGACTCGAAAAAAACTTGACTCGAGCTCAAGCTACTTGTATATATTTTCAAGTTGAGTTCGAGCTTGTTTAAGACAAAGCCCAACTCGAAAGTTCGATAAGCTTCATCCAGTATTGTGTAATATATATATATATATATATATATTAGAGATAAATTTTAAGCTCACGTACAGTGTTACTTATGCTTGACTCGGCTCGAATGCACCCGTAGTTTGTATCTTTGTACTTCTAACATTTCCCATTGATGTATGCCTCACTTTAAGCTTTAAATTTTATATCTTAAAGCCTTTTTTTTCAGAGTTGGCTGAAATGAACTTCTGAAAGGTGAAGTGGTTAGTACTTCTGTAACATCCGTTTCAGCCAAAGAAGTAGTTCAAAAGAATGATTGTTCTTATGATTCTGTATACAAGCAAAATGAGTCAATAATAGCGCTACCAAACGGGGCCGGATTATCATTACAGCATACTACGCATTATTTATCTTATCCATTTTTGCACAGGTTTTAATTTACCCATTGCATTCAGTCTTTTGGTTTTCAAAGCAGCACTGGTGTTACTTGGCAGATGGCAACATTGGTGAGTTATTGATCATCAGCTATGCAGACATTTTGACCCAATGTACAACATTTTAATTTTTGGTAAATTACAACAGCTATGAACCATCTTTCTTGAATCTTGAGTGTGGGGCCTTTTGGGACAAAAATGTTTGGAGCATGACCTTTAAATAGGAAGGATAGGGTAAATAATTATAAGACCATCTCCATTCATAAGATTATGATTAAATTGCTAACATAAAATTAACCTTGTCTCATCATCACTAACTGCGAAAGCAACCTAGTCTCATCGTCACCGTATTGTACTCATGATCAGATTGCTGACATTTTTTACCAAGTCGTTTGGCTCATGACGTTTGAGTTACTCACTTCCAAGCTTCATGTTCGCAGTCCTCCATGAGCTTGCAGAGGGTAATAGAGTAATAGAAATATGATTAGATACCTCTTATGTATTTTAAGATAGTATGCATATTGATAGAGATATGATTAGATACATGTTATGTATTTTAGGATAAGATACATAGAGGTATCCAAGGATTCGAAGTTCGATGGAGCTCTCATCGATCTTGAAGATGACTCTTCTCATTTTGCTATGATATGGCGGTGGGAGCACTGGTGCATGAAGGTTCCAATCAGATATGATTGCTGCCGGAAGAGATCGTAGAAGATAGTGCTTCCCCGGGGAGAAAGGGAAGGAGTTAACGACGACCACTAACTTCCCAGTGTCATCATCTCTGCGGTCCTCTTTGGATGAAATGGTGTGTGGGGATGAGAAATGGTTTCACAGCCTATAAAAATTAAACCTCGTGTGCAGCTACATTACTTGATTACTAGTTAACCGGTTACTAACCGGCTAAAGTGGTATGTTCGGTGTTTTATGAAAGTTTAAGAGTTTGATTGAGTGATAATATAGTACAAGGGCTTAATTGCAGCTTTCACCATACTAAGAGAGCATTTTTTTGATAGTTTTCCCTTTATTCTTTCCTTAAGTGTAATTATTCTAGAACAGCTTATTGTAAGTTGTAACCTATATAATTGATGATCACTAAATGGCAGCCACAGCTTGACCTCCCAACTCCATCTCTGAAATCGCTTAGCAAACAGTGAGCCATGCTTCTCAAAAGGAGAGTGTTCAGTTCATTCCATGGGTTGGTCAATATCTCTCTATTTCCATGATTTAATTTAAATTTTCATTTAAATGCGTGATCCATGTTTACCTGTGTAGTTTGCAACCAAAGATGGATTCGCTGCCGGTATGGACTTAATTTGGTAGACAAACAAGTTATTCGCATACTAGGTGTTTGTAAATATGCTTAAATGAGATATACAAACTATTTATATATTATCTGTGTAGGAACTAGGGACATGGGTCTTTAAGATGCAACAACATAGATGAAATAGGAGAAATAATATGTACTATTTTGTTCAGAATTAAGAATAAGTAATATGACATGCTATCAAATCTTAGAATTACATGACTGAGACCAATGATACAAGGAGTGTCTTTATTTGAAAATCGACAGATATCTTCGTCTTTGTATAATTAAGCTTACCTGCATAATAATCAATCACACCACATAACTCTTCTCTTTACAAACTTATACATATATTATGTCAAATGATCTTTCCATATTATTTTTCCCCATCCTTTTTTTACTATTACGACCAAGCTACATAATTTATCAAGAGTGGCTTGTTTCATGTTTAAATATTTTGTAGTAGTAAATAAATTGTTGCACGTGAGCTACAAATTATCATAAACTCTACTAAACCTAAGAAAAAGTAAAGTTCCATTTTCTTCCGATCAAGCTTAATTTCTTCTGATATTCATTATTATTTCTAACTGATGCCTCATCATATCCATGAAGCTCTATTGATTCTGTGGGCTACTTTAACTGAGGCTTCATATACTTTGTTAGTGATTGTCTATTGTGAATCATGTCTTGTTAAGATGGTTATGTGTGTTGGTTTTATGTGGACAATGTTTCTGCCCGTGTTATTCCTTAGAGGAAAGAATAGATAAAACCTGTAATTTCATGAAATACTCTTCTCAATCATGGAGTTTAAGCTGGTCTTGTTCTTTACATTTATTAACAGTTGGAACTTAAGTCTTCTTTTCTTTTGGATAGTTGAATAACTCTATTTGTACAAAAAAAACATACATAGAGAGAAGGAGGTGAATGGGAGTAGAGAGGAAGACAAATTTCAGGTTTGTATATTGTTATAGCTATGCAATGGTAAGTCGCTTATATTATTTCTGGCAGTTAGCCAACATTTAAAAGAAAGAATGGCAAAACTAAGACCATGGACTTTTGACGGGACAAAATAGGACCACTTTCGTTAAAAGACAAAAATAGGACCAACGATATCTCCTTCCAGCGGACATCCCCGTCTTCTCCATCGCATATGCGAACGTCTCATCTCCAGCGCATCTGCTGCAAACTGACTCGCCATAGCCACAACATCTCCACCGCGCGACCTCAGCCGCTGCCTCGTCTCTGGTTCGTCTCCTCCCTGGCCGATTCATCTCCTCCGTGTCCGATTCGTTTCCTCCTTCGCAAGGTTGTCTCCTCCGTCGTCGGTTCGTCTCCTTCGATCTTCGTCTTCTTTCTTCTTCCATTGTAGTCGTGTCTAATTTCTGTCTCTGTCTAATCTCCGTCGCGCGCAAATGGATCTAGATCTCGATTTTCGTGCTCGGCCACTTGATTTCAGATCTGTTGGGGGCGGTTGCAGTGGTTGGGAATGGGGATGTGTAGGGGTGGGGCTGGTAGAGCATGGTCAGGGGCGGTTGGGGAGCAACGGCCGTTGGATAAGGGCTTGGTGCAGGGGAGGGGCAGGGGCAGGGGGCTGAGGAGGGTGTACGTGCGTGGCAGCTGTCACCGAGTTGGGCAGTGGTCGGAGGGCGGTGGTGGTCGAGGCAGCTTTGGTCAGGGCGGCAGTGGCCGCTTTGTCAATAGTTGAATACGGCATGGTCATTAATGGGGTTGGTCACGGTCGGATTGGTCACGATCGGATTGGTCATGGTTGGATTGGTCACATCGGTTTGGTCACTGTCATATTCGTCACGGTTGGATTGGTCACTATAAGTGGACGAGTTGGTAACTGTAACTGGACGGGTTATGTAACTGTAACTATAATTGGGCGGGTCGGTAACTGTAACTGGACGGGTCGGATAACTGTAACTGGACGGTCGGGTAACTGTAACTGAACAGATTGGGTAACTGTAAATGGACGGGTCGGGTAACTGTAACTGTGCGGGCGGACGTTGGTCACTGGACGGGCGGGCATTTGTCACTTGGCGGAATTTTTTTTGGTCACTAATGAGTTTTGGTCACTAACGGATTTGGAGCACTAATGGAAAGTGATTACTGGAGCACGTTAGTATTGTTATTGTTACTTTGTATGTCTTAAATTCTTAATCCCCTTCTAGGTCCCTTTTTTGGAAAGTGAAAAAAGAGTCTCTTTTTTGTCTATAGCTCTTTTTTTAGTATTATTTTAGACATTTAAAAAGAAGACAAATTCTAGCATACGAAGAGAGGAAGTGATGAGCCTTGCGTCCCATGCTCGAGAAATGATCAAACAGACGCTGAGGTGAAATATATTGCTTCTCGGATGGTTATGTTATGTTATGCTTAAAAATATTTTTTTATTTAAACTGTAATTTGTTGGTCTGATCTAGTTTGGTCTGGTAATGTCTGGTCTCTTTGTATTTGTAATTTTGTATAACTATCCAAGTCTGATCTGGTCTGGTCAGATCTAGTCTGGTTTGGTCAGATCTAGTCTGGTTTGATATAGGACAAATTACAGTCCAAGTAAAAACATCCTTTTTAGTACTAATATTGATATTAATTTTATCCCAACAATAAATAAAGATTCAATAAATTTCAGTTTCTTTAATTTTTTACCACGCCATATTTGATACTATTGGTTTCGAATCTCAAATTGAGATATTTTAAAAAAAAAGATCTCAAATTGAGGTAGTCCCATATGTTGAGAACTTGTTGTAATCCCATAATTTCAATCTCTCCTTTTCGAAAATGTTTATTAACAATATGTTAATGGTTATATTTATGTGTTCTTTGTGGGAATATTTTGTGCCACACATGCTCACCCAAAGTACACGTGATGTTTGTTTTGTTCAAGTGTGGATAATTACATATCTAAATTTCTGACTACACACAAAACGCAGTTAAACCACCAAACAGAATAACCCAAAAATATGGTTATAAGGCTTAAATTGAGCATTTTTTTATCGCGCAACGCGCATAACAAAACAAGTAAGCCCAATAAGAAATAATATTACATCAAATAAGAAGTAATAGGGGTGATATAGATCTTTGAGTTATTTTAATTTTTTTGGGTGGCTGTAAATAGAAAAATGAGGGTTGTGAATAAAATTTTCCTAATTTGTCTTTATCAAGTGAGTGGGCTGATTATTCATGTTTAATCTTGTAATTTTATTCGGCCCAATGGTCCTAGAATAGCAAAATATGGAGTAATACATTGCTAACTAGAGGACTTCAACCATACAAAGTTACAAACGCTGGAAGGCGGGAAGTCTGGAAGACTGGAACCGCCGAACAGAGGAGCATCCTAGCGGCGAGCAGTCGATCAAAGACTATGGAGGATCGACTATTAGACTCATCGACATTGAAGAACGACAACTCGTCAAGTAACCGACATATCCAACCAACAACGCTTTACACTGGGCCACCCGCCATCTAGCCTTAGTCTTTGGGCGCGGTGCACAATCGGCACCACATCAGGCCTAGGGTCACTGAAGGCATAACCCCACCCTCAATTTCTTTTTACGAGTATATACTATTCCATCATATACGAAGTTATAATAAAATTAGGCCAACTCTCAATAAAGCAATCTGGTATGGATAACACGAGGGTACATCCAAAACTCCAAGTTCCAAGCCCCAAAAATAAAAAATGGGCCAAATGTCACATTAGACACACGCACACACGCCCTGACATATGTTGTAAGATCGGACCGAACTGGTAGGGTCGATCCAGAACCCGGCGACCCAGATCTCGAGTGGCATGCCTACAATACCATACATATGATCAACTCATCTATTTTGTGCTTGTGTGACCTACATGTTCTCCGGAGTATTTTAATTCTGAAGTAGTACTATTGTAAAATATTTTAATTCTGAAGTAGTACTTATGGCTTTACTTATTATTAGTAATAGCCATAATAAGTTTTAGTGTCAATTGTTTTTTATACCAATAAATTTCTTATCCGACATACAAAATATCTATCAAATATATTTATATAATCTTTTTTATTTTAATATAGCATTATGTTCACACATACTATACATCATATTATGACACATCCCTCTACAAAATAAAACTACTCGGTAGTTAGTCAACGAACGCCACACATCGTTCTTTACAACACTGCAGGACTATCGCTCATAGGTCAGCTTACACGTATACATGCATTTAATGCACCTAACATTGATTATTAGTTTAAGTACCCTTGGGGGAGATGTAAACAGTTTTGAATTCATGAATATCAAATTACTTTCTATTTCTAACTTGCAACTCTCTCTTCTCTCTACAGTATCACTAGTGATTTACCGTTGAGCTATAATTCGGTGCTTTCATTGAGAGGAAGGACAATCAAGTTAGTACTCTCGTCGCTACTAGATAGTACTACTAACTCTTCGGAATGGGAAGAACAAAAGAATCAAAACGGACTATCGGCGTGAAGGCTTTCCAGGACCCTCGGGCTCAGCAGGAGAATTCTGGTGACACCATGACTTCAAAAGCCACTGAGGTGGCCTAATTCCAGAATGCAGGCAACCCCATGACCGACCTTCTCAATAAAATAAACAAGAATTCTCTTTATGCCCATCTCAACATCGAGACAAAATAGAAGGAAAGAAGTGAGTCTACCTTGGGCCACCAGATCACCCTTCCCATCGACATACACACGACACTCTCCGTCATCCTCACCAACCTCGCTCAGAACCCCAACAACTCCGAGAGCCTTCATCACTCGTCTCTCAAGCCACCATCTTGGAGACGGCTTCCTCACCCCCTCACGCACAAGTCAACTTTTAGCGGGGACACACATAGGCCTTCAACAGGCTAGGTGCCTAGCAATGGTAGCTGATGTTAGTGTCTTGGACAACGTAAGGCAACTACTGGACAATGGGAGGGGGAAGCTCCATGAGGAGGATGCACGACATAGAATCAACCAGGCATATGCCACCAGAGTCCAAACACAACATCTGGACACCACAACACCGGAGAGATGAAACAAGGCTACATAAAAATACTGGGTCAATAACACTAGTCTGTACGACGCATTGTCATAAAATACAAACTACTGAACTGTTGGTCAACGAACGACACACATCACTCTCTACAAAACAGCAAGTCTCTCGCCCATAGATTAGTTTACACATGTACATACATTTAATACAACCATCATTGATTACTAGTATAAATACCTCCTTGGGGTAGATGCAAACGGTTCTAAATTCATTAATATTAAATTACTTTGTCTCTCTAACTCGTAGCTCTCCATTCTCTTTGCAATACTATTGACGGTTTACCGGCGACTTGTCAAGTAGTTTTTACCATATAACTTAATTTTTTTATATAATATACATATTTTATTTTTAATTTTTAACCCGATAATTTTTCCGAGTCTCCTCCAGGTTTTAACAACATACTTCTCCATGAACCAATGAGTTTGCCTTTAATACGTTCCAAGTATTGAAGGTAAGTAAAAGCGGTCGTCTCCCTAGCTCCTTAGGATTTAGTTTGCGCAGCATAGTTTTTCTAGCGCCGATCTCTTGCTAGCGGTCGATCACGGCCCCCGCAGGATCCTCGTGCGCTGTTTTGCTTTGGGTCTGACTTTTAGACGACGCTTGGCTTCAGTTGTGCTGACAGAGTTTGCAGACTGGGAGTGGGTTTCGTATTTGTGGATAGGGACGATCCAAAGACGGAAGGAGCTCGACGAGGTATTCCACTGACGATACCGAGGGGAAACGAAGCAAGGATGGAAGACATAGCCAACAAATACAAGGAGATGATGATAGGGGCACATGAAGATGAATTAGTTTTCGAGGTGGAGTCCACCGAGGAAGAGGAGAATTCGGCCAACCAGGATATTTCCCCGGTAGTAGGGACAACTTTCACGGATAGGATGGTGAAATTTCCAGTGCTCAGGGATCTCATGGATTCAATATGGAGACCGGGCAAAAGTATTACCATCAAAGAAATCGGTGAAAAAAGGTACATGTTCACTTGTTATCATGCTATTGATATGGAACCTGTTATTAAGGGCGCTTAGGCCAGGAGATGTGCCACTGCAGGTTCCTCTTAATGAGACATAGTTCTGGGTGCAGGTACATAACGTACCTTAGGATTTTATGAATATTGGGGTAACAAGAAGGATATGAAATTTTATTGGAAAATTTGTTAGTTTTGATGAGAGCCAGTTTGAGGAGAATTGGAGATCCTATATGAGGATTAGGGTTATTATGGATGTAGGAAAACCACTTAAAATTGGCACGACTCTCAGAAAGGAAGCAGAAAAAGACAAAATGGTGGTTGATGCTCCAAAAAACGGGGCTGGGGGCGGGTCGAGGATTCTCGACCCACTGAGAGATGTGAAAAGGGTCCTTGCTGCATAGGTTCGGGGAAAGTTCCTTGGGTTGCTGAGGATGCAACTGAATTCCAACGTTTATGCTTTTATTTTTGTTTTTTCGATTCATTAGACTATGTTTGTTTTTGTCATTTACATTTATATCTGTCAGACTCTTGCATTACATTGGGGTGATGAAAGGTTTGCTCTAACCACGTTAAACTCATATAGACGCATTACAGGATTAGCGAACCATATTGTTTTTTTTTACAGATGATTTGTTTTGAATCTGGTTTGAGGGTCGGTGGTTGAAAATGACCCTTTTGTCTTTTATTTCCATTGCTAAATGCTCTTATATCTATTTAAGCCACCTTGTTCCCAAAAAACAACATACTTCCCCTATCTTTTAGTTGTAATAGTTCATTTTTCACGTTTGTCAACACATAATTTTGACGATTAAATATTTCATTTCTTATTAATTGCAATTTGCAAAAAATAAATTATATTTTGAAAATATAAAATAAAAAAAATTTAACATTTTTTTTTAGAATAGAATATTTAAATAGTGTAGGCCGTAGGGCTTGTTGAGTAAAAAAACAAGGGAGGTACAATGTCCTCAGTTCCGAAGGCATAAGCAACTACCGCAGACTGGCATCCAGCATCGTCCGTTCGTCCTCTTAGCTACTCGAACTCCAGGCGGGCTCACTCGGCTCGCCCTCTTCATCAGTCGGTCACGCAATCACGGCTCACGCCGGTCTCTGGTCGGCCGTCGGCGCACGACGCCTCTGTTTGCTAGCCTCTAGGTCTCTGCTCGACTGAGCCTTGTTGTTCTGCTCTTCGCCTCTTCAGATTTGAGGTAGGGTTTTTAATTGTTTAATTTGTTACACTTTTAATTTCCAGCTTTAGAATACAGCCTTAATTTCCAGAATTCCAGAATTTAGGATTTCCACTTCCCAGAAAGGGTTTTAATGGCTTTATTATTTATACTTGGCTTTCAGCCGTATATAATTCTAATTTTATAAATTATATTTATGTTTACTTCTAATTTGAGCCGGCCACTGGCCATTTTAACATTTATCATTAATGTGATTTGCGATTTGAAGTTGTGTGATTTGTCATTATCATTCACAATTTCACATTACTACATTAGCATCAATTTGATTGTGATTTTGTTATTATTAATATCATTGTTTAGTATTAATTCCATATTCTTGTTAGTTGTTGTTAGTATTACTAGGGATGCAAGGCGGAATTTTTCGTTTCAATATTAATCACAATGAATAATTTAAAAGAGTGCACAATGAGAACATTTTTAATAATATAGAATGTCAATGTAAAAAATTATTATGCACATGAGAGTAATTTAGAAAGTACAAAAACAAAGAAATAAGTATAGCAAAATAAAATGTCAGTGTAATAAAACATACTTCGTATATGCTATAAAATGGAAAGATGAAATTGATTTATAAATTTGGAAAAACTTCTTTATACTTCCTCCGTTATTTTTTAATTGCAACGGTCCACTTTTCACGTTTGCCAACGCACAAGTTTGACCATGAATATCTTTCGTTCTTTATTAGTAAAAAAATTAAAAAAATCAGATTTTGAAAATTCAAAATGAGATGAATTTAATAATATGTTTTAAAATTTTAGTTTATAATAGGATTATTAGCTTAGTTTATCCCAAACTATCATCAAATTCACAAATCCATCCTATTCTTTCACTTTTATTAAAAAAAGACTCAAACTTCATCTTTTTCAACAATTATGTTTTTCTTTTTTTGTTTTTTCAAAAATACACATTTTTATCAATACCAATAAGATATAATCAATACAAGTTTGTAAACTTAAAACTAAAAGAAGTGAAAAAATATGATATATAAATATGATTTTCTTCTTAAGTTTTAGTAATTCATCCATTGAAAGTGTAATTGTTAGAAAAATTGAAGTTTGAGTCTTTTTTTATAATAAAAGTGAAAGTATAGGATAAATTTGTGAATTTGATGATAGTTGAGGATATATTTAGCTAATAATCCATTATAATACATTAATAAGTAAAATATAGTCAAATTAGAATATGTGAATAGTGAAAAAAGTCCAACGTTGCAATAAAAAGAGAACGGAGGTAGTACCGTAGTACGCAATATTAGCGGTCTCGTTCTTGCTTTTATTGTCACCGTTTCTAACTAAAATTTTCAATCCTTTTTTCTTAGAATTTTCAAATAATTCTTTTCAGAAAAGACTTAAGTTTTCATTATTTTAAAATGATATAATGTTTGAAATGTATGCATCATGCTTATACTTTAGCATACTTATCATCCGTATATAAAGGGAAACACAATTTTTGTTAGTAACTTTCTAGTTAATCTCTAACACCTTATCAAAATGTATCTAACTTATCTTTGCTGCATTGATTTGGAAAACCCCAACATATTACTTCATCATCCATATGATAATGTCCTCAAATAATATTATTCAATAAGACATGTACATTAATATCAGTCATCAGTCGATGAAAACCAGTACAAAACAGTCGTAAATTTGTGGTGTTTTTTGTATTTGACTCTGGCGAGAACTATCATTCCTGTAGTATTTATTTTTATCTTTGACTTTTTTGTTGCAATACACATTATTTTGTACCTATTAAATTTTGCCCTGATTGGATGCCTTGCTAGATCCGTCCCTGCTTTTAACCTTTTGTGGACCTACGATTCTGCCCAGCTCCTTCGGCCCTTTCCGCCCTTCTCACCTTTTGGTACTCCTCTTTAGCCTATAACTATTTTATTGAGTAGTTCTTAGTTCATACAGACATACAATCGCAACTCATAGTTGTTGAATGTTGATAAATGATTAGTTGATTTGTTGTCTATTGGTGTGTTCTGCCCTTGTTGGTGTGCCATTAATTGATTTCTTGATTAATTCATTTGATTAGCTTTTCAGTTGATTGTTGATAAATGATTAGCTGATTTGTTGTCTATTGATGTTTTCTGCCCCTGTTCATGTTGCCATTAATTGATTTCTCGATTAATATGATGTTTTATGCCCTTTTATATGTTGCCATTAATTGATTTCTTGATTAATTCATTTGAGTAGCGATCGGTTGATGTTGGCATGTTGCGGTTCTGCCTCTGTTAAATTAAGTGATTGGTTGATTAGTTCATAATGATTAGTTGATTTGTTTTCTGCAATGAGTGATTTTTTTGTAGTAAAAAGTAAATTTTGTGCTAATGTTATTAAATATATGGCCACATTTTTTAATTATAATTAAATTTAAGTATGATAAATTCCAAGGTGTAATAAAAGTATTCAAAATGTATTTAAATATTTTGTTATCCTTTGCTTTATTTTTTATTTATAACTTTTTTTTTTCTAGTTTGTTTAATGTAATGAATTTAAGACTTTTTGTTATAATGGTTTTGAAATATTATTATTATAATTTTTAGAATATTACCCGCTCATAGGTTATAAAGAAAAGGTGTTTATAACTTTTTTAAGATTAGGCTCATTATAAATTACCTGCCCCTAGGCTTTTAAGAAACAGGACTGTCCCTGGTGATATGTAAATTGACATGTTACCATGTGGAGTATATTAGTATGCAGTTGCATTTCATTTAGGTGTATTTGTTTTTTCTCTCCCCAATAAAATGATCTATGGTATGCCACTGTCATCAGGGCTTGTTGAATGGCTTGCCTTTCATCTGGTACCAGAGCAGCATCTTATGCTTCCTCGAGTTTCCTCTCCAATCAGCAACATTACTTTCTGCAGCAGCAGATCTATCGCCTGAGCTTTTCCTACATCAGACGTGTCAATGTCCCGCTTAATTTTCGCTCTCCCCGGATTTGCACATCTCACAGATTGGTCCAGCCCATTTTCAATGCCTTTTCTTCTTACAATGACACATCTCGTAAGAACTGAACATCGTTTTTCTTTGGTTCAATACGAGCAATGTGAACTAAACTGGACCTTATTGTTACCCCTATGTAACTAAAAACTCATGTTTTATGCAGATAAATTTTCTTTATTTTTCAATGTAAAACTCTTTTAAACTGTTCAGCCATTTTTTTGGGAGGTAAAATTACATTAGATTCAAATTAAAATTAGCACCTCACTTCAAAGTCAGTGTGTAAAGACATTTAAGCTACACTGAACCTTATTGATCACTCCATCTTTCCCGAAAAAGGGTCATGTTTTGGCAGTAAATCTTCAGTAAATCATTCATCATACTTCTACTTTTTATTTTTTTGTTAGTCGAACTGTTTTTCATTTAGGAAAAAGTAAAATTAACTTCCTGCGTGAAGCCATGACTTACTTTTTGTGGCCAGAATGAAGTTTTGAAACAAGACTTTTTGTTGTTGGTGATGCCTTGGGCCCTCGGCAGGAAGGAGTATTTTTGGGGTTAATGAATAATCTATTACTTTATATATATTGTATTTAACTATTTAAGATGTTATTGCAGAGGAAGGAAGCGTGGTTGTGTTGGTCATTGGTGGAGGAGGAAGGGAGCATGCACTTTGTTTTGCTTTACAACGATCACCTACATGTGATATGGTCTTTTGTGCTCCTGGTAATGCTGGAATTTCTCTTTCAGGAGATGCTACCTGCATACCGGACCTAGATATATTCAATAGTTCAGACGTGATCTCATTTTGCCACAAACGGGGGGTTGGGCTGGTTGTTATTGGGCCCGAGTCTCCTCTTGTGGCAGGCCTCAGTAATGCTCTTGGTAAGGCAGGAATCCCGACCTTTGGCCCTTCCTCAGAAGCTGCTGCCTTGGAAGGGTCAAAAAGCTTCATGAAGAGATTGTGTGACAAGTATGGGATCCCTACAGCAAAAGTTTGTCTCACACTTTCTCACTTGCAGCTAATATTTTTAACGTCATTTGAAGGGTTTAGAAACACTAGTTCTAAACCATAGGTCTAGCCCTTATCACCAAGGAATCAAGGATTTGTTTGGATGGAGGGTTTCTGAAGGGCTTGGCAACCTTATTTTATATCTGAATAAATGGAATGGTCCTAGAAAAAAAAGGTGCGTGAAATGTTATGTATATCATGATATCTCAATTTCTATATTAATATTTCAATATCTAAGCCATCAGAACCCTTCATTCAAACTTGGAGTCCATTAATTTCCTATATAAGAAGTGTATTAGTAATAAGTCTACCTGAGAAAGTATGAATTCGTTTACAAGAGGAAACTTATATCAATAATGACAATAGTTTGTTATTCAAGCATCAGAACCAGTCAGACTCGTTGCCATTAAGTATATGCCGCATGACGAAAATAAACGGTTTGTATTTCTCGTCAATATGAGGTTAGGGATGTATTAGAATTTAGAAACAGTCCAACTTGTTGCTATTATGTGGTCGCTATCAAAGAAATTGTACAGTCGAGACTTTTCATTTAGCCGTGAGGAAGGCAGTGTACAGAAGTATGTCTTACATTGGCTAAATATAAACCAACAATGTAACATATAAGATAACCGTGGGTTACCCATCAGTCACGTTTAACCTTTTAGAATGGAATCTCAACCCTTAATAGAATGACTGTTATTATTTGAGAATGAATTTCATATTTATACTAACAATTATTACTGGTGCAGTATCAAACATTTACTGAACCATCAAAAGCAAAAGAGTACATTAAACAGAAAGGCATCCCCATTGTAATTAAAGCAGATGGATTGGCTGCCGGTAAAGGAGTGATCGTTGCCATGACACTTGAGGAAGCATTTGAGGCTGTAGACTCGATGCTTCTGGGAGGCATGTTTGGCTCTTCGGGCTCACAAATTGTTGTTGAGGAGTACCTGGAAGGCGAGGAAGTTTCTTTCTTTGCATTAGTGGATGGCGAACATGCCATACCTTTGGAATCCGCTCAAGACCATAAACGGGTTGGGGACGGTGACACAGGACCTAATACAGGTGGAATGGGAGCTTATTCTCCGGCACCTGTTCTGACAAAAGAACTCCAGTCTGAGGTTATGGAGTCTATCATTCTTCCCACTGTGAAGGGAATGGACGCAGAAGGGTGCAAATTTGTTGGGGTTCTGTATGCCGGGTTAATGATTGAGAAGAAATCTGGACGACCAAAGTTAATAGAGTACAATGTGCGTTTTGGAGATCCTGAGTGCCAGGTTCGGTAACATTTTGCTGTTTGTTCATGCCTGCAATATTTCTCATGCCTAATCCCCGTAGTCTATGTTTGAACTTGAAAGATGGTAGGAACTAGGAAATCATATGAAATAAACTATTTAATATGCTTGGGCTAAACTTAGAAATTTTGTACGAGAATGAAATTTGATTAATTTTTCTACACATCTTTTTATTTCTTATTATAAGGGAAAAGTGGTAAACTGTCAAATAGGTCATTTTACTATGTCAAAAAGGTCCTCGTACTTTAGAATCAATCAATTGTACCCTTGAACTCATACAAAACGCTCAATTGAGCTGTTAAGCCGGTAAAGAACAAGTTTCCCGGTTAACCGCCTACGTGGACCATCCAACTTGGCTATTTTTTTCTTTGTAATATACAAAAGAGCGTTTTTATAAGTTTGTTGGTTTCAATTCTATGTAATATACAATTTAATTTGTAACACTACCCCCGTCCCACAAAACTTTGCCAAATTTCCATATTTAGTCACCCTAATTTTTTTTGCCAATTCCATTTTAAGTAAGAAATAAATAGTTAAAGCTATTTCTCTCTCTTCTGCATAAATTTCAATCAAACAATTTTATTTTATTATTCCACGTACAAGTCAAAGTTCGCAAAGTTTTGTGGGACAGACAGAGCATATTATATATAATATATAATAAATTACAAATTAAATATATTAAACAAAATATTATATATAAAGAAAGCAGTTCAAATGAGAAAATGATTTTAGGAGAGAAATGAGAATGAATCTGGACCGTTAAATTGTATTATGTGAAATTCAATGTGCATTACATGAAACTGAAATATGCATTAGGTAAAATTGAAATATGCAATCTCAAAGAATATGACACAGTGACATTATTTGAAGCTAAATTGCGTATTAGGTGGAACTGAAATGTGTATCAGGTGAAACTTAAATGTGCAACATAAAAGATACGATGCCGCTAGCATTTTTGTACATTTTATTTTGCACATTTGTGTGTTACCTTTTATTCTACACATTTCAATTTCACTCAATGGAGCCAAAGATTCATTATTTTTTGGCTTGAGAACATGATAGAATAAAGCAAAATGGCTCACTAAACTGTCTGTGCTTCTTTGTTATGAAGCAGCAGTCAGTCCATGCAATTTTGGACACGATTTTCACCATGGGTCATCCGGAAACAATCTCTCTGTGCTTCTTTAATACAGGGGTAAGACTGCTTACATCCGACCCCCCTTATCCCACCGTAGGTGGGAGCCTTTGCGGCACTGGGGTAAATGAAAATGATGAAAATGATGATGATTTCAATTTCACTCAATGCTCATTTCAGTTTCACGAAATGCACAATTCAGTTAGATACTTAGACATAATACAATTCAACGGTCCAGATTCATTCTCATTTCTCTCTTGATAGCCCTTTCACATTGAAACCGCTCCCTAAATATATGTATTTTAAATATTAAACAGTGTGCGACTAGTCACCTAATTGTCACCTAGGTGGGTGCCTAGGCGATTTGGTGGTTGGCTGCTCCTCACCTCACCTTTCCGCCGTGACAACCATGCATATATATTGAATTCTAAGGAGAGTAAAATGCTAATTATTCTCCTAGTGTGCGATTGATATTTCAAAGTTAGTTATATTAATATATAAGTTATACTCTTATGTTGCATAACATATATGGATAGTTAAACTTAAGAGTTAAGAAGAATAATCACAATAAAGTGACACAGAAGTATTGCAGTGAAGATTACAATGCCTCAAAATTAAAAAAACATGAAAATAGAAAAGATATATTACCTAAACATCAATGGTGCTAAGCAGTGAACTCCACACCATACGAACACCAAAAAGTAACAGGCACAAATATAAAAACTATAATGAACTAATGGATTGAATTATCAATAGTTGATAGATTGGGGGTTTAAATAGGCTAAGAAATGATGTTTTGCAGTCTATTTATGATCTAAATCAGTATGAGGCAAAATTTCTGAACTACACCCTCAAAATCTTCACTTCTCTTTTATCCTTGCACGTTGGGTTGTTTTCTGCAGATGCAGGTCGGTCTGGCACTGGTTTAGGCTTGGGCCCGGTGCCGGAGTGGGAGGTATTACTGTTCTGTCCCGGATCCGGTGCCGTTTTTATCTAATTACTAATACTCCCCTTTTCATCGTTTTTTGGCTTCAACTGTTGATCTCGAGATACTGATTTTGACTTTTCTTGGCATATTTACTCTTTTATCTTTTGTGAATCCAAACTTTGTTTTTGTTCAATTTGAATGTTTTAGCAAATCCATTTTCTTTTCTCATATGGAATATCTCAACTACTTATGTAAAACTTGACTAATTGCAATGCTTATCAGTGCCAAATCCTAACATAAATCCTTGATCAAAAGAGACCTATTTCTTATGATGTTGGAAACTTGTAGCTGAATATTGATAACAATTTGGTTAATATCACAATTGAAATCAGTCTGATTTGTTAATTTACCTATATTTCCAGGCATTGATGGTTCGCTTGGAATCTGATTTGGTTCAGGTCCTGCTTGCAGCCTGTCATGGAGAGCTAAATGAGGTATCCCTGAACTGGTCACCAGGGTCAGCTATGGTAATAGTAATGGCCTGCGAGGGCTATCCCGGAAAATACAAAAAGGGATCAGTCATTCATAACCTCGAGGAAGTGGAGCATAAGAGTTCCTCAATGGTGAAAATTTTCCATGCCGGAACATCTGTGGACGCCGATGGAAATTTCATTGCAACTGGAGGACGCGTCCTTGGGGTCACCGCCATAGGAAAGGATCTTGCAGAGGCACGTGACAGAGCGTACCATGGCGTTGAGCAGATTGATTGGCCAGGTGGTTTCTACCGGAGGGATATTGGTTGGAGAGCGCTGTCTTCCAAACAGCATGGTCCCCAGTAAAATGTTGGGTGTGTTTTTGTACTTGTTATATGGCGACTCTTGCTAAGGCCATACCGGGCTCGATGCATTGGGATGCTTGTTTCTGTTTAGATCTTGGTAGGGTAAGAAATTAGAAGGGGAATCAGGGAAAATATCTGCGAGTTAATTTATTGCTAGCAATTGAGAGAAAACAATAAGACCAAAATAATGTGATTTTTTCTATACACCAACTACTAGTTTGCATGATCCTCGCTAACAATATTTTTTGGTGATCCTAGATTCCTAGATGCAAATTTGTTTAGGCGTACCCGACAAAAATGTTAGAATTGCTGTAAATGAAGTTCTTGTGTACAAGAGTAACATACAAGTATGGTGTGAGAAACAAAATTATTGCACAAACACAGGGAGTATTAGTATACAATATTACCAAATTGGAAGTGAACTTCCTTGGGAGTATTAGTATACAATATTACCAAATTGGAAGTGAAATTCCTTCCCACGAGGACCACCTGATTCAAAGTAACCAAAGTGAAACAAGTCCTGGTTCATACGAAGTATATATTTTTCTTTTTTATTAATTACAAATATTTTTCAATATTATGTTTTTTTTAATTAATCCGACTCAAATAATTTAGTGGTTTCAACCAGAATTTCATCAATTTCAGCTATTTCCGTGTTAATACCGGTTCTAATTTGCACCATTTACTTTGATTTTGGATGACTAACGTCTAAATTTTTGGTATTTAATCATGTGATCATATCTATACCCAAGTTGGTCTCTTTCAGGCTTGAGATATAAGTAACCTTGAGTTTTCTATCCGATAAGGCACACAGAAGCAAGACATCACCATCAACATTCAACATTACCAACCATGTCATATTTTAGAAATGTATGAGTAAAACAGCCCAAATATCTTTTTTTTTTGTTGTTAATTATTAGGCTATGTTGGAAATTGCTTAATTTCCTTAAAATAAGTTGTTCCATGTTAAACATAACGCTTACTCCACAAAAATAGAAATTATTTTCCGTTAAAAAGTTATCTTCGGGTGCTTGACACAAGAGACAGTTTTTGTGAAAAAAATCTTCAGTCACACTAAAATCCAGGAATCTAGGAAACATGCCCTGATTGTCCCCAAAAATATTTTCATAGAAGGAAATGTAGCCTTAGATCTTCAACTTTCGCGGGCTAGTTATAACTAGGGTTACATTTATATTGTGGACTGCCAATGTCTAACTCTTACCCAATTCCTGATGTGAACTAACACACAAAATCCCAATGAATTTTGATGATACATGTAGAGAGAGGGGATGATCTAGTTAGGGCTATGGTAGCTGAAACCAAGGCAACTTAATTTTTTCAAATTGTTTTGGCGTAAACTTTTTCAGTTTTCATATTTAGCCAACCATCTAATGTTAAGTCTATTACTATTCCATTTAGGCTAGTCCAATCCTGATTTCTAGATCCACCTATTGTAGAGACTAGAGAGGATGGTTAGAGAGGATTAGTAACACTCCACCCCCGGGTCGGCGGGGCCAATCCGGGTGGGGCGTTACATTTTTTTGAATTTAAACTGCAATGTCAAACGAGATTATGATTAATTTAAGATAATATTTGAGATTATATTCATATGGACTTAACAACTAGACTGGATTTTGAGGCGTTACAGGATTCCTACAAAGACAAGAAGAAGAGGAACGTGATACACACAAAGATATGTGAATTAGTTGTTTAATAGACAGAGAAGTAGCCGAAAGAATAGGACAGCAAAAGATTTTGCATGCCTAGATTTGAAGAACAACAAAGTAACAAAAACTGTTAAACAAAAATATTTATTGATGTTTAACTGCCTGTTGTTCTATTTATACAATGTCAACAAGTTACACTCACTTCCTAAGGCTACTTATACAACCACACCTACTGAGACAAGATGAAGAATATTACAATTGATATCAACTCCAGATATCCTCATAATGATGATGCATCAAAGCTGAGGTTGATATGGGAAGAGCCGTTTGGGAGAGGGGGGTATAGACGTGAACCAACCCCCATGTGGTAGTTGAAAGTAGTCTCAGTCTGCTTATGCCATTGTATGACCGCTGCTGTATCGGGGACTGAGGGGTATAGGACTTGGGGACGCACTTCTGACCGCTCTTCTCTCATAATAACAATCATTAGGCATCATAATGCATTTGTTACAACTCAACCCTATCATCCTGCCTCCTTGGCTCTGCCTCGTTGGGTAGCAGTAGTGGTTTCTGTATTGAGGACTGCCGGGTGACCTAACTGAACCCATCATGTTGGGTTTTGGCCCTCTGTAAGGATCCACCATTGGCCTGCCAAACTGATATCCATGAAAATGATTATTGTGGTGCATGATGCTGCTTTGTTGGTAATGAGGAGATCGCGGAGACTCGTTTAACGGAGGCGTATAATGGCCACTTTGCTGGTGATGATGATGACCGCCACCACTCAAGTTGCTGCTACCAAAACTAGGCATGCTCTGAACTTTATGCATACCACCCCCACCACCATTCAAGAAACCGCCCATATTTAGCATCATATTATTACTATGACTGCTGCTGACAATATCATCATCGGGTGATTTCGGGGAGGTACAAGCAGAGGAAATGCTGAAAACCTGCGGACTATTCAAGGCAAGATTGGGTTTTCCGGACTCCTCGGATGGCTTTGACCCCTCCACCATATTGTTGCGGTGGATTATGCCGTTGATGGCATCAATGTAGAGTTGTTCTATGGCTGCCTCCGGTGAGATGATTCTTAAGGGGGATTGTTCTAGCACCACCACTGGCTTTGATGGGAAAAGGAAGGCTCTGAGTCTTGTGGATCCCCCAGCAGTCCTATGCCGTTCACACTCCTCTATCATGTACTCCACATCTTCGTCGGTTTTTACTGACACTAAGGCGTCTAGATCCTCTGGGACAACTTGGTACTTGAGAACCACGTCCTGCCCCTCTATTTGTTGGTATCTCAGCTTCTTCATCAGTTCTGTTTTACCCAAACCAAACAAATGTACTTGCAGCTTTAGAATGACTTACATGCTTTTGTTCACTCAAATATACAATGTCATATATCACAGCGTTTGAATGTGGTATCCTCACGGTCTCATGTCTGAATGTGGTATCCTCACGGTCTTAGCTATTCATTTAGCAAGAATAACAAAATTATAAATTTAAAATAGAGTCAATTCAGAATTCATTCGAAGCCAGAACTTCTATACCATGCGCGTCATATTCGCCCGGTGTTTGCAGTTCCCGTTTGATACCGGATAAAGCAAATCTTGGGAAATTGAATATAAACAAAAGTTAAATTTTTATTTCAAATCTAAAAAAATGCAATAATATTCATGATCAGGATAAGATATACTATCCATTTATTTAATCTTAAATTGAATCTTTTTTATTCATAAGTTCCGTCGTCCCCATCACTTCTTACTTAATGGTTTCCTTTTTGAAAAGAACATAATTTAGTCGGGGGAGGATGTAGCCAAGTGGATTAAGGCGTGGTCTCACGGATGACCGTACTTTGATTGGAAAAGGAAGACTCTTATTTTGATGGAATCCTCATATTTAGATTGTCTTTTGATCTTATTTTTGGTGTCGAGGTATGTCTTGTGCCTTTGCACTTTTAGTTTGTGGTACCCTTACGAATGACCTTTTTGTTATACTATGTACGTAGTACTATCGTATTATTTTTCGTTCTTGGGTGTTAATATGTGTGTGTACATATAGTTTAGTTCAAATAAAAAGTACTTTGTAGGTGAAAAATAAGAACTAATCTTGGCCATTGATGTGAAAAAATGGATGGAAGAGAATGAGAGATCAAATTTTAAGTTAGAAATGCGGTGGCATTTCGGTAATCATGAAAAACTTTTAATGAAAATATATGACAAATGTGTATCAGAATAGACAAAAAGTGCACATGTAGAGCATAAAAGTGCAACACAATACAAAATAAAAAGTGCACACATTAGAAAAATTTAACAATCTTTTTTTTTCACACATGAGTGCACTTTTAATGAATAGCTATCCACTTTGTTAGTATAAACATTTGCACATTTTTTCAAACCGTCTCTTTTGATCAAAGTTCACCTAATCGATCCATTTTCTCTTGATCAAAGGCCAAAATTTGTTCTCACTAATACACACACTCTATATGTACATTTCATTCAGAAATTAGTATCACAGAGTTTTGCATTAACCCCTCAACATAAAACAAGATTGAAGACAATTTTCAGGTCATCCATCAATCCTAAAGGTCATGATGTATGCTGGCAACATTCATATTTGGTCAAATCACACTAATTACATTTGTGGAATTATTCAATTGTTCATAGCAGGGTGGTTAAATTAGCTCGGGAGTCGGGAGCAATCAAGATTGGATTTCTCGCATCATAATCTTAGCTCAATAGCTGATGTAGTAATAATTTAAGAGATATTTTTCCATAACCAAATTTAATGATTGACAATTAGAATAGAACAAATATGATGTGTTGCATTTAAGGGAATAAATATTGATTGTTGTTACCGTCAAGCTTGATGCCTCGAGCGATGGAGATAACCCTTGTCTCACCGCCGACGTACTTGAGCTGGCCGTCGGACGGCCGCGGGAGAATCCTTCCTCCGTGGCTACATAACAATTTGATCTTTCCATCCGGTGATCCCGGCGACGATTCCGACACAGACACGTTTTCCTCCGGCATGTTAACAAAAGATTATTGCGGCTTCTCAACCAAAACTAAAATGAAAAGAAAAACACAAAAGATTTTTTTTGTGTGGTTTCAATCTTCAAATTTCATAAACATATTCTCATGTAGAAATATGAAGCGTCAACAATATTTTTGCATGAATGGTTATTTTACTCAGACCCCATTATTTAAGAACATACATCTAATTAAGTAGGGATTAACGATGGCAAAATCACAAATTATACTATACAAACAATTGTACGATTGTACCAAAGGTATGGTACAAACAATATTTTTGTAATTAGTTTGAACATGGAGGGAAATAGGGACCCGTCCAGCGTACAACCGACTGTATGGTGATCACCGTACAGACGGTGACATTTTTGTAATATAATGTAAAAATAACGGTTTCTGCTAAGTGATCATTAGTGTACTGTTAATGAGCAAGAATCCAATCTACTTTAGTACTAATAAAGTAGAGTCATTTCAATTGAAATTGATTTCTACCTAAATTGCAATTGAGTACAATAATTGAAATTCTTAATTTTTAGATTTTGCCCTTGAAACTCTTCAATTTAATTAAAGGACTTCAAAATAAATTAAAAAGCCTAAATCAGTGCCTTAAAAATTGCTGAGCACCACTATTGTGCATAGTAGTTTCAACGGATAATTTATAGGAAGATGATCTAATTAAAAAGTACTATTATCTTTAAATCTTAGATTTACTCTTATGATCTAATTCGTTCCTAGAAATCCTAGAATATAAAACCACAAAAGATTCATAAAAGCAATAACGATTTACCATAAAATTTGAATAATATAATACACACACAAAGAGGTCTTTCCATGCAAAGTGAGAATGAATCTTGTGCATTCATTTTCACATTTAATGACTCAAAATGAGCCAAAAATGCACTAAATTGGAACAAAAATGTGGTGGCATATTCGTAAATAATCCAAATTTTTTCTCCACAGCGTAAAAGTGCAACAGAAACACGAAAAAGTGCAAGCGAAACATGAAAAAGTGCATATGTCCACACTTTGCACGGCAAGAGGTCTTCTTATTTGAACTCTTCCCTAGATATATATATAGTATGGATCAAATAAAGTGTTTCCAAGGTAAAAAATAAGAACTAATCTTGCCCATTGATATGAAAAATGGTTGGAAGAGATCAAATTTTAAATGAAAAACACGGTGACACTTTGGTAATTATGAGGAACTTTTAATAAAAATATTATACGAAGTGTACCAAAATATGCAATAAGTGTACATGCAGAATGCAAAAGTGCATAACAGTACATCATAAAATGTGCACAATAATCGTTGATCACCGGTATTACGTTGATAAGTTTCAATAATGGTTTGATATTATGAAAAGTTTCAAACTCATAAATAAGTGTTCGATATGGGCTATATCATTTTAAGTTATAAATAACAAGTCGGAGTCTTGGATCTATTTCAGTTCGAAATCAGACATATCAGATTTAAAAACAGATCAAACCAAACCAGATCGGACTAATTAAACTAGATTAGAAAATTTTAGTCCAAGTAAAAAATACTCCCTCCGTCCCCCTAAGTTTGTCCCGTTTTACCTTTTTTGTCCGTCCCACTAAGTTTGTCCCATACCATTTTTGGTAACATTTGAGTGGTTAGAATTCATTCTTACTTTATTTACACTTTATCAATTCAATACCAACCACACAATTCCACTTTTTCTTAAAAACCACACCACACCCCTCCGTCCCAAACTTAGGGGGGCGGAGGGAGTACCAAGTATGCTAAGCTCATAAGTTTTAATTTGGAGAAAATCGTTTTTGAAATATTGTCCTAAATAAGTCTAGAAATAGGTTAAGTTTGAGTCATAAGTTCTGGTAAATAGATTTGGAGCATGAAAATTCTATATTGTTCGATCAAATTTTGAAGGTACAAGACCAAAAAGAATAAATTCACTTTAGATCTTACGAGTATCACGGCTATTTACAACTGGTCTATGTTATTGACCACTTTTGATACATTACTATTATTTTCGTTCATATGTGGTCCTATCGATATTTTCGATGGTTAAATCGCCGAAGAAGCACTGGAAATTTGGACAGAAAGATAAAAAATTGTGAAAACTTTATGAAAACTTTTAAGCTCATAAGTAAGTAACCGATATATCATTTCAAGTTATAAATAAGTGTCCTAAGCTCATAAGTTTTAATTTGGAGAAAAGTTTTTACGAATGTTGTCATAAATGAGACTAGAAAACATGTTACATCTTAGTCTTCAATTCTCAAAAAATACAAGATAAAAAATACATGATCTTGAAGCTACAAGATCAAAAATACAATTGTTATAAATACCAGCTTCTTTATATAGATTAATACTCTGATTGTATCTAAGGACTATATATTATACTTCTCATAATAAATTATTATTCTATACATAGTATAGAATTTTAAACTATATTACGAGAGAAATCCAGTAATAGAGAGTATGTATAATATATATACTAAAACTACCAAATAAGTTAAAAATATATACAATTGAATTTTTGTAATGAACACATTCTTAAATCTCAGGTCCAGTCTGCTGTCTATCATCGTTATAAAACTCTGTAAGTTTGTACGATGTGTTCGTTAATATCAATTCCAGTATGTATTTATAAAAAAAGTCAAACAAAGTAGAGCTTAATAAGCAATTTTCAATAATTAATACATATGTCCATTCATCCTAGGATTGATGAGGCACACTCCTCTAACTTTCCTTTACAATATTCATTTCTATTCCCTCATTTTGAGGATGGATATAGGCCAGCCATCAAGTACAAAAACGTGGGAGAAGCTGGAGAACACGTGGATAAACACCATTGATAAAAGGGGACAATTAAGCATGTGTGAGTTCTTCTAATATAGGCTTCAATAAAGGGACTTTGAGTATATTAGAATTCCTAAGTCAAGGAAACTTCAACAAATCATTGTTGATGTCTATGCAATATATAATTGAATCAGAAAGAATCTCATTTTTAATAAACAATCAATTGAAGTTGAGAACTGATTTATACAACGGTTTGGCAAATGCAATTGTAAGGGGAATTGTAAGGGGAGAAACAAACCTGCATGCTAAAGGAAATTAAAACGAATAATACCCACATACATATTCTTTTATTGGCAGGGAAAGGGACACGATTTATAATTATCAGGATGCGATGATCATTATTCGTAAATGTGGTAAATCGGACCTTTTTATAACTTTCACATGTAACCCAAAATGGTGAGAAGTAGCTACAGAGGTGTTTGCGAGATGAAAACTTCATGTCTGACGACGAGTCCAATATCGTTGCCAGAAACTTTAAGATCAACTTAAACCATCTCATAGAAGAACTTACAGATAGGGAGTTATTCAGAGAAACTCAACCACAATGACGTATTGATTTTAAATAAAGTTAAATATATTTGCATACTAATTCCTCTCAATGACTATGCAATTATTTACACTATTGAATTTGAAAAACGATGCCTCGCACATGCCCACATCATCCTATTTTTGTATTATGGATACAAGTTGAGAGGTGTTGATGACATGGATAAGGTAATCTAAGCTGAAATCCCTCATCCTATCTAGGATTCAGAGTTGCATCACGCGACAAAAGGCAACCATCAACTCTTCTTATGTTTGGAGTGATTGTGCATTTCGGCGTCTCACGAAGAATATGAGATTGCTTTCAAGTGCTCATGATGAAAAGAGTGACATTGAAAAGTTTGATTCATGGATTTTAAAGGTTGGGACGGTGATATTGGACAACAAGTAGATGGAGTTTCGGAAGTGGAAATCCCGAATGAATTTCTTATCAAGGCGGATGGTAACTATCTAGCAGTTATCTTTAATAGCACTTATCCTAACCTTAAGAATGCCTCAACAAGTAGATACTTGCACCAACTTTAGACGTGGTTCGCAAAATAAATGACTACATGCTATCTTTGATTTCTGGTGACCAAGTCACATACCTCAGCTTAGATAGCATTATTAGTTCAGATATTGGGTTGTGTCGTGAGAGTGGCACATATACATTGGATTTTCTTAATAGTCTCTCTCAATCTCTGGGCTGCGTGAATCGTGATCATGATCATGAATTGCATCTAAAAGTTGGTGCTCCCATTATGATCTTGAGAAATTTAATATATAGAACCGTCATCGGGATTATGTAATGGAACCAGGTTGATTCTCACCAAGATCGAAAAACATGTGCTACAGGCAAAGATCATCACTGGAAGAAATATGGGGGCCACTATTCACATTCCCAGTGTATCGTTATCTCCATGTGACTTAACATTGTCTTTTAATTTTCAAAGGAAGCAATTCCCGATTATGGTATGCTTTGCGATGAGCATCAACAAGAGCCAATGTCAGTGTTTATCTCAAGTCGGATTATATCTCAAGAAAAATGTCTCCACTCACGACTTATTATATGTTACCATATCAAGAGTTAAGAACAAATAAGGATTGAATATTTTGATTCGTTCGATCAGGGATTTTCCTACAATACCATAAATATTGTCTATAGCGAGGTTTTCCAGAATTTGGAAGCACCGTCTTTCAATATTTTCTGTCATTTATTTATTCTAATGTTTTACGGATATCAACTTCTTTATTTTTATATATTATATAATAATATTATATTAAATTAATACAAAATTCAATGTTTTCGTCAACAATAATTTAAAAATTCATATGAAAGATATATTTGACATATGCACAAAATTATAAACGAAATATTCCATATAGGAGTTGCACCCGGGGCAACGCCCGGGTACAAAACTAGTTTTAATGAGTATTAGGAATCTAATTATGAGCGCCGTGTTATATTAAAAGAAAGCTGATATCACAACTAAAAAAACGGTGGCAAATTTGTAATTTTTGATGAAAATCTTGGTTTCTCTTAAATGAGCATTTATACAATTCTAATGAGCATCAAGTCTGTTCTGTCGAGTATTAGGAGGCTAACAATGAGCGCCAACGATCTCTGTTTTATATCTTCTAATTCAATTTCTTTTTATTATTTTTTCGTTTATAAAAATTTCTTAAATTATGTTTATATTCAATTTCAATTAATTTCAATATGTGAATCTAATGTAGAATTATATGTTTGAAATGTGAAAGATTTAAAAATGAACATAAAACAGTACCAAATGAGCATACATAACTTACA